AAAAAACATTTTTTGTTACAGATTTTGAGCAGTTTTGTATTTCTATTTCAGGTATGCCGTTACGAGTTACTTCCATAGGGTCTTGTGGCTTTACCAAACCTGCGGTGGGTAAGTTGGTATCAAAAAGAAAAAAAAGAAATTTAGTGTTCATTTTTTTTTTGGTCGGCAATATTTGCTTCTTTTTTAAGCGTTATTATGTGTTGGCTAAGTGATTTTCATGCGACAGCTTTTGCCTCTTTAATTTAGCCGTTAGTGTTCATTTTTTTTTTTTTTGGTCGGCAATATTTGCCTCTTTTTGTAAGCGTTATTACGTCTTGGCTAAGTGATTTGTTATGGGCAGCTTTTTCCTCTTTTTAGTTAGCCGTTAACGCTTTTTGTTTCGTCTGTGCTATAATAGTTTTTATTATTTTGGCTTCCGACATTCGGAAAAATATTTTTTTTGTTTTTTTTTTGTGTCGTGCGTTTGACTTAATTTGTTGTTTGCTCCTGTTTTTGTTTTCTTTTTTTTTACTTGGAAGTAGTTTTAATTTGTGCCTTATGGACCTTCCTACCACCAATTCTTTTCGTCTAACGTTATTAATCTCTTTTTGAATGCATCGATAGATCTCAATAATGGTAGAGTGGAATTTTTCAACCTGACCATTTACCTCACTTCTTTGAACTGGAGTCTGGTATAGTTCAATCCCCAGACCTCTTATATAGTTACATAGCAAAGGAGTCATGAATCCCCTCTCGTTATCGGTTACTATAATTTTAGGAGTTGTAAAGAATAGACTAGTTTAGCTAGCTTGGCGCGAATAGTGACGGATGCTCGGTTTTTTATGTGGAAAAGTTTTGCAAATTTGGAAAATTTATCTATGCAGGATAAAAATTTTTCTCCTTGAATTTCGAAGATGTCCACATGCACAATTTCGCATGGGTATTTTGCCACCGGAGTGTCTTTCATCGCCGGTACTGGAGGATGTCTATCATATTTGTTTGCGAGGCAGGTTTCACAAATGATGGTGAATTTTCTTATCCGGCTCGCCATTTTGGGAAGATAGTATTTTTCTAGGATTTGCTCTTTATTTTTCCTCGAGTTCCTATGAGCAATCCTATTTTCGTCCTCTATTATTCTACAAATTCTACCTTCGTTGGCAACATCTTCGACCACCCTCTGCGTTATCCTGATTTTGTACAAAAGAAAATGTTCCAGATACACTTCTTGCAGAAGCTGTAAATGATTCTCTGGAATTTTTCTACATGTGGAATAAGGTCTGACGCATCGCGGTCCGCACGGTGAACTGTCCCCTCTTCGCTTCTAGCTTCTGTTGATAAATCGTTAGGCCCCAACGATGCTGTTAAATGGTTTGCCTGGCATGGAATTCTCGAAAGAGCGTCTGCCACAACATTTATTTACCAGGAGTGTAAATCAATTCGTGGTTATACTCTTCTATTCTCGCCTTCCACCTCTTCAACTTTGCGTTGTAGTTCCTACTTCCCAACGCAAACGTGAGAGGCTGGTGATCAGTGAAAATTCAAATTTTTTCGCCCCATAGAGGTAAGATCTCAAATTATCTAGAGCCCAAACTATTGCCAACATTTCTTTCTCGTTTGTGGCGTAGTTTTCCTCCGTTCTAGTTAAAGATCTTGAAGTGTACGCGATGGGCCGATCTTTTCCTGGTTCTCCTTGAGACAGCACCCCACCAATGGCATAGTTTGAAGCGTCGGTAGTAAGGTTAAATGGTTTTTCGAAATCTCGGAAAGCAAGAATATCTGAGGAAACTAGTAGTTTTTTTAAATTATCGAAAGCTTGAAGGGCTTCACGGTTCAGACTAATGCGTATTCTTCTCGATTGGTTGGCCTTAACTTGCGCGTTTTCCCCCCGCGTGAGACTGGTTAACAGTTTTGCAACTTTCGCGTAATCTCGAATTAACTTTCGGTAGTACGACGTCATTCCCAAAAAACTTTTCAGTTCTTTTAGTGTTTCTGGGGCCGAAAAGTTCTCTATTGCCTGCACCTTCGAAGGATCTGGTTTCATCCCATCAGACGTGATCACATAACCCAGAAATTCTACTTCCGTTCCCATAAATTAAGTTTTTTCCAAATTCACTCTCAAATTAGCGTTCTCGAGCGTTTCAAATACTATTTCTAAGTTTTTATATGCTCATCAGTATTTTTTCCAAAGACAATAATATCATCAATATACACATAGCATATCCTCCCAATATATTCCTTAAGGACATCATCAATCATGCGTTGGAATATAGCCAGCACATTTTTCAATCAAAAAGGTAGTCTCAGAAATTCGTATTTTCCATTCCTGGTTGAAAACGCGGTTTTGGGTATATCTGAATCCTTCATCGCAATTTGATGAAAGCCTGAGGTAAGATCAATCGTCGTGAAATATTTAGCGATCCCTAGACTGGCCAGTGTTGCGTTAATATCCGGAATCGGATAAGCGTCTGATACGGTAACCGCATTCAAACGTTTGAAATCTACAACCATTCTATACTGCTTTTCACCGGAGGGCTTACGTTTTTTCGGAACTACCCAAATGGGAGAATTATACGAACTTTTAGATGGCCGTATGATGCCTTTCTCGAGCAATTCGGTAACCTGCTTCTCTACCTCTTTCCTCATGTTGGCGGGATATGGATAACTTTTTGTGTATATGGGCTCATCTGTGGTGGATTTTATCTCAGCCCGAACGGAGGTTTTGATGTTTGTTTTTATATTCAGTGGCCCGAACAAATGAGAGTACTTTTCTACAAGAGACTTTAAAAAAGGAACTACTGCCTTAAGAATTTCATTTGCAGCAGAAAAATTAATGCTTCCAACTGTTTTGTTTCTCGGTGGAATTTTAATGTTCGGCTCGATTGTGAGAATATGGTTTTTCCTATCTATCACCGCACCGAGTGCCTTTAGCGTACCATCTCATATAATGCCGTCAAAAGATTGGAGTCCTGGTAAAAAGTTGTCTTGGTGTCGTTCCCTACATTAAGGAAAAATTTTCCACAAATTTTCCTTTTTATTACTATTGGTCCTGACACCGTCTGCACCGAGAAAGGTGGATCGACTAATATTGAACGAGCAGCTAGAGTAGGCTTTATGAAATTTTTATTTGCCCCTGTATCTATAAGAAAGTTTAAGGCAGTACTGCTGTTGGTCAGGCACGTCAGGTAAGGTATGCTTGAATATGAGGCACTACTCCTCATATGAAATAAGCTGGTGGCCCGGTCGTCAAAAAAATTTACCTGCTGTGAATCGTTCTCTGTACCGTCACAGTAACTTGAAGAATCATGTCCTTCTTCAGGACTACTGGTTTCTATATTATACAATTTTTTTTTGTTTTGGGAAGGCACCCTTTGACGATGTAGGCCCCCTCTTAAAAGCGTTTGTGCCTGAGGGTCGGTGCATATAGTTATAAGAAGGCAGCTCATAGTTATAAGCGACCGCTTAGACTTTGTTGCTTTTTAGATTTTTCCTAATAAACAATCGTGGTATAAAGCTCAATAAAAAATATTAAAAATAAAATGTTAATAAGCCACAATAACATTGACAAATACATAGTTTAGGTAGAGCCTGCCTGAAACTATACAAAAAAGCAAATGGATTATAGAATTGACAACAACAACTACGCTGTCGAGTTTAAATAGCGCCAAATCAGCTGCACTTGATAGTAGTTGGTTGAATAAGTAAAATGAATTAGCAACAAGAGTTTACGGGGAGTGCATAGCTCAGTGGTTAACGCTTCTGACTTTGGACATCGATTACGCAGGTTCGATCCCTGCTGAAGTCTAGAAAAAAGAAGTCTGATGAGGAGATGTGGTGATCTCCGAAATAGCTGCTATAACTTCTACCGCTTAGACTTTGTTGCTTTTTCAATTTTTCTTAATAAACAATCGGCGTGCAAAGCTCAATAAAAATATTAAAAATAAAATGTTAATAAGCCACAATAACATTGACAAATACATAGTTTAGGAAGAGCCTGCCTGAAACTATACAAAAAAGCAAATAAGCAAATGGATGTATAGAATTGACAAAACCAACCACGGTGTCGAGGTTAAATAGCGGCAAATCAGCTGTACTTGATAGAAGTAGGTTGAATAAGGAAAATGAATTAGCAACAAGAGTTTACGGGATGTACATGGCTCAGTGGTTAACGCTTCTGACTTTGAACATCGATTACGCAGGTTCGATCCCTGCTGAAGTCTATAAAAAAAGGCTGATGAGGAGATGTGGTGATCTCCGAAATAGCAGCTATAATTTCTACCGCTAAGACTTTGTTATTTTTAAATTTTACCTAACAAACAAATCGTATTGCAAACTTAAATTTTACAAATATATAGTTTGGGATGAGCCTGCCTAAAACTATATAATGAATGATCTGTTTTATGTATGGAATTAACTAAAACAACCACGCTGTCCAGCTTAAATACCGGCGAATCAGAGACACTTGATAGTGGTAGGTTGAATAAGGAAATGGATTAGCAACAAGAGTTTACGGGTTGTGCATAGCTTAGTGGTTAGCGCTTCTGACTTTGCACATCGATGACGCGGGTTCGATCCCTGATGAAGTCAACAAAAAAGAAGCCTGATGAGGAGATGTGGTGATCTCTGAAATAGCAGCTACAACTTCTACCGCGTAGACATAGGGTGAAATCCTAAATGTAAAAATGCAAAGCATCAGTCTCTTTTATTTGTAAAGCGCACTAGAACAAAAGGTCTAACTTGTGCAACCTAGATGCAAACTAGCATCTAACCGTGGTTTCGCACATTTGGCAACAAAATATACAGAGGTTTAGAAATAAAAGAGACTGATGCTTTGCATTTTTACATTTAGGGTTGGACCCTTTGTTGTTTTCCCATTTTTCCTAACAAACAAATCGTGGTACAAAGCTCAAAAACACTACTGAAAAAGTTAATTATATAAATATTTGTATAAAAAATAATAAATTTCGTTCTGGATACGCCCATGTGCACGTTATTGCGTTTGTAAAACAAATTTGTGGTAAAATCGGGGATCTTTTTTATTTAGTTTTCGCTAATTTATATTTGCAAAGAATTATGTAAACAAATTTAATTTTTTTTATTACTTTTTCATTCATGATCGCAAGTAAGTGGATGGCGATTTAAGAAATACTTTAAGAAAATCTATACCACTTGGTAATACTTGCAATTCCTCACAAAAGGCATGCAATGGAGGAAATATTATATCCCTGAATGACAAAGTGTGAATATTAGTTAATTCTATTTGAAACTCAGTCCTATTAACAAATGGATAATAATCAGCGCCTTTGTGGACAACTTCACTTGTAATTTTTCGAACTATAAGTCGACTTGCATCTCTGTAAAAAAAGACATGATTTTAATTATAAGACGTATATTTATGTACATATATTAACCTTGTCAAATTAGCTCTCTCATTGATAAGTAGGCGCCATAAATTAATGCCGTCTTCAAGAGCCTGAGTGCAAACCTTATCCACATGTTGCAACAAACCAAGAACGAAGTTTGCACTAGTATCGAATTTGCAAAGCGATTTTAAATCAAGAGGTAAACTCATTTTAAGAGTAAAATTTAAGAGGTGGTCGATCGGCTTCCAAAGTACTGCAATGAAATAATTTTCAACATACATATATATCAGTAATTTATTAAAGAGCATACAATTTTTAACGAGAGTTTAAATCAAGTGGTAAGCTTATAGGTGGAAAACTGTGCATTGTAGTGACTATCGATATTCGCCGATAGTATTGATGAACCCCATCGATATATAGATACTAACGGCCATATTTAATTTTATAAAAAAAAAAATATATTTATAATAAAAGAGTTTAGCTTTATTAAGGTAAATGTACTATATCCTGTACATTTTTATTTGTTTGTATAAACATTTTTCTGCAAAAATGCTTGTCCAGAGTTCGGCGATTATTAATAATTAATGAAGGTACTTGAAACTCCCTCTGACTTCACAGACGATATTGGAATGCAAAGGTATTTAATCTTAAAAAGGTATGTATATAAAGCAGACGATATTGAGGATCCGTAACATTAAGTAAATTAATAAAACCATCATTCACTTAAATTCTCATAGATTAACATTGAAGAAACTGCTTGACATACATATTTCTTTTTTTACATCGACTCTCATTGTCACATGTGAGAAAGTGCTAAAGGTGAAACACACATATTTATATAAAAGAAATCGTAAAACAATATTTTTTTTTAAATAATTTTATTTCACACAAACATAACTAAAAATCTCTGGTCATAAGCAATAACCGCCTAAGTCGACTTAAGAAAGAATTGAGTTATATATGCTATCGTTTTCTGCAACTACTATTCCATGTGTATGTGAAAAACTCCCATCTCATTACCGAGGCTATTTAAAAAATTATAGATGAAAATATTTTGGTTTCCCCATAAGGCTAACATTACAATCCAAATCTTTAAAGCGTTTTTTCCGAATTCAGGTTTTTCGACTTAGGCGATTATTGTTTATGACCACAGAAATTATGGATGTAATTGTAAACACAATATATTTTTAACACAAGACCCTTGTTCGGAGCAGCAGCTGGAACCTAACTAGAAGAAATTCATTTACATCATACTTATGTGCACTGCCCTGCGTGGTAGTTAAAAGCTATCTTTATAACAGCTTAATATTCTGATGTATGTGGAACGATTTTCCGTCATCCCTTGTCAAATTTGGTTTGGAGACAACAACCAAAAAGAAGCTTAGTATTCCTTTAATTTTTAGTACATTGTGCCACCTGATCTTAGCACTTGCGCTCAATATTGGTATCAATCACTCTTGTAGTTTTTTTCTCACTTGCCTTTTCTCTTCATCCTTAGCTGCAGTATATGAGACATTCTTTTTCATATCGGGCGCCAAATTTGGTGTCACACTTTCAATTGGCTCCAAATTTTTTTTATGGGTTCTATACATGAAATAAGCTAACACGTCTCGAGGAATTTTTTTTTCGCTTTTTTCTTTGGAGATATGATCTGTCAAAGTTTGCTTTTCTTCGTGATTCTGACTAATCATGTACTTCTTCAAATCGTTATGTCTCGGGTTCTGCTCATCATAGAGACTTTATCTTAACGTCGCTTTAAAGCTAAAGAAACGGGCTTAACATTTCTATATATAAGATGGTCAAGATTGTCCTAAAGCTAACTTCGCTATTAACAGTTGAACTTTTTGAAGTGATTTTCATAGTGAAGACCAGTAAATTAGGGATTTAAAATTATACCACCGTATTCCCTGTTTAATTCTCTATAATAGGGATCCACAGCAGAGGTGCACGCAGTCGACGTCGCGGGCAAACTGCGCGCACGCGAGCGTGCTAGGCGAGGTGAGCTGTACGGAGATGGCATCGTATACATATTAACCACTACACACTTATTTTCAAGTAAAAATGTGTGTATGTATGTGTACTTTTGCGACAACTGAGCCAGTGTGGCATCAGACCACCAGAAAAAGCCAATTTTTCCAAAACAAAAGCGCCTAGTTTTTATTATCATGTTTAATAATTTTTTTGATTCAGTAAAAAGTGTATATACATATCCATTTCCTCACGTTTTTATTAAAAAATTAATTTCAATACATTTATAACAACGCAAAACATATTTAATTTACCTATTCCTCACATTTTATTCAGTAAATGAATTCCATCTTGATGTAGAATATTAGTGTATACTGTATACATACATACATACATATGTACCTATGCATTCGGTGTGCTTAAATTAAAAAAGCATCGGTAAATACCGCACCAAGCATTGAATTCCAATTATTTTGGCTTTTTGGTTTCCCAAAAGCACTAAATTTAGTGCAAAATGCACGACCTTGGCAACAGTGAGCTGAGCACATCAATGCTCAAACAGTGATGCCAGACCAAGTATTGAGTAAATGCGTTATGTATATTTTTCTTTTAAAGCAAAAGTTCTAATTGGCGAGGGTATTGATTTTTGGTTCTTACATAGAACACTGATAAGATTCACAAACTTATCTTAGGACTTAATTAAAATAATCAACATTATTTGTAGACGGATATATTTGTGTTCGTATGAAATTGTAGCTTATGTCGGGAGGCAGCCTTTAGTAAAATGTACCATTTCCTATATTCTTTAAACCACAAAGAATTTTTAATGAAAATTTAAACGAATATTGACTTGCTAGCATCGCCATTAACATTACCGTCTTTTACGTTTATTTTCCAAGAGTTCTTCACCGACTCGGCGCCAGTGAGTCTTTCGCAATCGTATGCTGCGAATGGTTCATTATACTAAGCCAGTCTTCCGACATAAGCTACTATTCTATACGAACACAGATATGTATACTTCCTAATAGGCTTGTAAAATGCCCAATACCCAAATCCCTCGCATGACTTATTATCGGTAAAAAATTTAGTACGCTCAAATCTGGCATCGCTGCAGCAAGTACAGCGCCAGTGAAACAGTGTTCATATTTTAAGTACAATTGTACTTTTTTCAGTACAATTATTTTTAAAATGTACAAAAGTACCATTTGCCGATTTTAAGTACAATTTCAACATCAAAAATACTTTTTGTACCAAACGCTCAAATCTCTTCTAACACTTTGATTCTTAATCCGTTTACATCTTTGGAAATGAATTTACCTAATAGCGATCCTGCAGGAATAGAAGTAATTGAGCAATACGGGGGTTGAAAGTAAAATAATGTATGTAAATTCCATGCGTTGAAATTATAAATTTCCCTTGAGGATTTCCATTTTATCGATAGTGATCTCATTTTATGTTCATTAATATGAACTGACCTATATATACGGAGACCATCCGTTCTGTTTTTTGCAGGACCGTATTGTTTTTCAAAGGTCGGTCCTGCGTAGTTTTTCAAACCTGAAAAACCTGAAAATGTACTGATTTTATCCAAGTGTCCTGCATTTGTCCCGCATTTTATTCGTTATTTTAAAATTATCGGACAATGGATGGATTTTTTCAAAAAAGTGTTTTTTGGTACTTTTCGTAGCTTTTCTTCAATATCTCATGAAAAAATCTCCAAATTAACGTGTGCGACTTACAGCTCGAAAGGTATTGATGTGCCTCTTACCAAAATATATACCTTGTGGCGACTTCAATGAAAATTATTAGTGCTACAGGCGAAAAAACTGAGATTTTCAATCAAATACGCAGTTTCATTTGATTATTTTTTTCATTATTTAAAAAATTCGATAAAGAAGATATATTATTACAGTAAACTTTGAGCCAAAGATAATGAAAATCGGATTAGAAATGTAGATGCTATGGAGCGCAATCTGCACAAATTATATATTTTTGTAAAGGGCACTTTGTAACTCGTCGTTTACGTCGATTCATGACGTCGATTTTTGACAAATAACTGCGAAAATTACCAAAAAAACAAAAAAAGAAGGGTATTGTTTTCTTTTTAGTTGTTTGTGTTTCCGACAGGGTAGGAGTATGATGTATTGTGGAACGATTTTCCGTCATCCCTTGTCAAATTTGGTTTGGATACAAACCGGTTTCGGCGTTGTGCCATCTTCGGTGTCATTTTTCGTATTGTTTTCGTTTTGATCGACTCAAAATTTGCCTATAAAATAATCTTTCAAAGATTTCCACTTCTTGTGTAAGCTATTGTAATTATAATATGTTTTACTATACTTTTATAAATATTCATGTAAAAAAAGATTAATATCAATGAAGAAAACGTGATTCATTTTTAAAGTTTAAAATGCATTAAGAATTTAGAATCATAAATACTCTTTTGATATTTTTATACTACGTAAATATATGTAGGCATATTTTTGAAAAATTGTCCTTCATTTTGAATCCATATTTATGGTCACCGTACCTATATAGTGTATTAATGTTTTATCATCATTGTCTTCATCTTTGACAAAATTACACGGTCACCCGTGTTATGTAGTGTTCGACACGAGTGGTTGCTTTGTACTGAATCTTCTTTTATTTCTTTTGTCATTTGCTTCTTACTTACTAACATGCATACATAGGGTTGCCAACTGCTTACACAACATCTCCCTTTTTTATCGACACAATGTAATTAGAAACATATTTGACTAAATATACACGTACATTTGCAATTAAAGTAATACAATATAATTCGAAACATGTTTGACTAAATATAAACTAAAGTAATGTGCTTACATGTAAAAGTGACAACTAGCTAAAGATCTAACTTTTGCGGTGGAGCTATTCTACGGCCGCTTCTGGTTGTGATGACATTTTCTTTAACTGTTTGGTTTTTTGCCCTTGGAGTACTAGTGTTCTCGAGTTCCGGTTGTGATAGATCGATATCACTTCCCTTTCTCGAACCCGACTCCGTCTTTTCGTTTATATCTGGCTCATTGTTTGCCATATTATTACTGCTATTATTTGGCTCCGAGCTATTTAACGTAGATGGTTTGTGTTCTGGAATTTTCATGATATCTACTCTATTTCTCCTGTACAGATTCTTGTTTTCATCTAAAATTATAAAAGACCTAGGCTCCTGACATTTTTGTACTATTTGACCAGGTACCCATAGGGACTTAGGATTTTTCTTATAATATATTCGATCTCCTTTCTGAACTGGTTTCAACTCTTTAGCAT